CCGCGGGTTCAAGACCCGCCTGGGCAGCAAGACCTCATCTCTACAAATAAATCAAAAAATCAGCCGGGCGTGGAAGCGCATGCCTGTAATTCTGGCTACTTGGAAGGCTGAGGCGGAAGGATTGCTGGAGCCCAGCAGGTCGAGGCTGCGTTGGCTGGGAGTGGCCACTGCACTCCAGTCTGGGTGACAGAGTGAGACTCCAACTCAAAAAAAAGAAACACAAAATAAAAGAGAATGCCATTTTCACTTAATTTTCAAACATTTCTCTAATAATATTGCCAGGGTTCTGTAGGTGAGGGAAGGGACCCATAAATAATGCTGGAAGAAGTATAATAGAATGTCCTGGAAGTCAATGTGTCGAAAGTCCTAAAAATGTATCTATCTTGGCTGGGCTTGGTGGCTCAGCCTGTAATCCCGGCACTTTGGGAGGCCGAGGCAAGTGGATTGCCTGAGCCTGTGGGTTCGAGACCAGCCTGGGCAACTTGGCGAGACCTCGTCTCTACAGTAAATAAAAACTTAGTTGGGCATGGTAGCACATGCCTGTAGTTGCAGCTACTTGGAAAGCTGAGGCTGAAGGATCGCCAGAGCCCAACAGGTCAACGCTGGGGTGGCCGTGAGCGGGCCAGTGCAGTACAGCCTGGGTGACCAGTGAGACTCCAATTCAAAAAAAAAAAATTTACCTATCTCTTGATTCTGCACTTCCACATCCATGAATTTATCCTCAGGAAATAGAAACTAGTACAAAGATTCATATACTGATGTGTGATCGCTGCAAACAATCTGTCTCCTCACAAGGGACCAGAGTAGTGAGTGATGCTGCATGGATCATACTGATCTGAGGGTCACTGGCTCGGCTGTTCATCCCAATTTTGGTTTTTCAGTCATATATATTTTCTTTTTTTGTTGTTTGTTTTTTTTTCACCGAGCCCGGCTCATATATATTTTCTAAATGCTAATGTATACATTATAAAATATAAACAAAGATTTAAAAGGATAAAGTTACATTTTTTTCCTTCCCATGTACCAATGGATGGTCTTGAGCATTTCCTGAGGGAGGCATGCTGTACCCTGAGAACCACTAGACGAGACTATTAGTGGTCAAAAGCACCAAGGTTAGCTGGTGCAGAGAGAACTAGTGACGTTAGTGAATTCTATGAAAGTGAACTAGTCAAATCTGACGGAGAGACCAACAGAACAGGATGGAAGAGCCACTAGAACTACAACATTTTTATATTCTCAAGGACCTCTAGAGGAAGGGGAACAAAAACATAGTTCTAATTTGATCAAAGAGTATCAAGGTCTTGGTCAAAGCTAACTCCCGCAGGCACCATTGCACCCTCCTTCCCCCTGCCAGTGGGGCTTCCATCCTGCACTGCTAATACCATGATTTTGGAAATGAAGTCAATAATAAAAAGCTGAAGGTCAGGTGCAGTGGTCCATGCCTGTAATCCCAGCACTTTGAGAAGCTAAGGCAAGATGACTGCTTGAGCCCAAGAGTTTGAGACCAGCATGGGAAACATAGCGAGAATTCATCTCTCAGCCGGGCTCGGTGGCTCAGCCTGTAATCCCACGCCTTTGGGAGGCTGAGGTGAGTGGATAACCTGAGCCTGCGGGTTTGAGACCCACCTGGGCAGCGAGCCCTCATCTCTACAATAAATCAAAAGATCAGCCGGGTGTGGTAGCGCCTGCCTGTAATTCCGGCTACTTGGAAGGCTGAGGCGGAAGGATCGCCGGAGCCCAGCAGGTCGAGGCTGCGGTGGCCGGGAGCGGCCACTGCACTCCAATCTGGGCGACAGAGTGAGACTCCAACTCAAAAAAAAAAAAAAAAAAGAATTCATCTCTCGCTACAAAAAATAAAAATTAAAAAATTAGCTGGGTGTGGTAGCGTGCACCTGTAGTCTCAGGCTGAGGTGAAAGAACTGCCTGCCTAAACCCAGGAGACTGAATAGCTATGATCCTACCACTGTACTCTAGCCTGGGCGACGGAGTGAAACCCCAATTTAAAAAACAAAAGTCCAGTAACTTCACATCTATATTCTCAAATAATATGCGCATGTATGTATAAAGAGGCTTGTGAAAGGATGTTCATTGTCAACACTCTGTAATAGCAAAAAGCTGGAAACAACCATAACTTCTATGAAAAACAAGGATAGGCCAGGCGCAGTGGTTCATGCCTATACTCCCAGCACTTTGGGAGGCTGAGGTGAGAGGACTGCCTGAGCCCGCAGGTTCAAGACCAGCCTAGGCAACTTGGCGAGACCTCATCTCTACAGTAAATCAAAACATTAACCCGGCATGGTGGTACCTGTCTGTAGTTCCAGCTACTTGGAAGGCTGAGGCAGAAGGATCATCTGACCCCAGCAGGTCAAGGCTGTGGTGGCCAGGAACATGCTACTGCCCTTCAGCCTGGTTGACAGAGTGAGACTCCAACTCAAAACCAAAAAAAAAGAAAAAGAAAAAAAAAAGGATGGTGAATTAAACTATACCACACTATGCAATTCTTTTTTTTTTTTTGAGTTGGAGTCTCACTCTGTCACCCAGACTGAAGGGCAGTAGCATGTTCCTGGCCACCACAGCCTTGACCTGCTGGGCTCCGGCGATCCTTCCGCCTCAGC